GTCTGGCAACCCGCGGTAGGGTTCTTTGGTTTGTCTTGTCTTTTACTTTATTTTTGTTTTTGGTTTTTTGTTTTTTCGAAGCTTCTTGGAGTGTCTGATGAAGAAGTAGCTACGGATCTGATTTGACGGACGTCATAAGAATGTTCCAAGTTGTCTCTAGCACGTGCCTAGCAATAGTGTTGCCGGTTCGGAAACGATCCGCTGTCCTAGTGTCACACCAGGAGCTTTGATCCAGGCTGATACAGCAAGTTCGTCTCGACAATTTCTAAGGTGAGTGCAGTTTAATTTTCTATTGGGTTAGAATCGATCCGTGTTTCTGTTGAGTTGACGGATTTTTTTAGGAATAAAAAATTTTAGGCGCGGCGCGCATGATCCGGTACGGTACTGTTTAGTGTAAGAAAGTATTATGTTCCTATAGTTAGACCAAGATAAAAGCATTCAATTCATGGTCCGAATCACCGACTAAGGCCCCTGATGATCCTGGCACGGCGGCCAGGTGAAATCAGTAGGGTCATTCACCGGGTGGAAGCTAAGCTTTTGCCATAGCTGTTGCTTCATTGTTATATATTTTACAGCAGTCGCGTTCGGGTTTTCACAAGCTTTATCTTGTGTCATCTCTCCTTATCTGATTATTGTCTGAACTCTACCTATCTCTGTCTTTGGTCTTGGCATGTTGTCTGTACGGTCGATCTATCGTGTCGCCATATAAATGTCTTACTGAATTGCTGTACAAGCGTACTTTTATACACGAAGTCACCTGTCGAATTGACATTTCAGTGGTCACAAGATGGCGTAGAACAATAACGGTAGCATGTCATTCCCTAGGCAATCGGGCTGTTTCAACTGTGGGCAAGTGGGCCATATAGCTAGATACTGTCCACTGCCAGATTGCCGGTTGAATTATCAAACTGCGTCTACTAGTACAGCTATCGTTCCCGCACAAACTCCGCTACTAACTTTACCTGCTCTCGGTGTTGCGACCACACCTGCGGCTCCATCGTTTTCGGGGTTTTATAATGGCGGTTACTCAGGCGGAGGAGGACTTCGAAATCGGGTGACCACCCTTGAAGACATTGTGGGGAAGATTAAAGGCAAACACGATGCGGAAGAAGCAAAGGAAAAAGCAGCACGTGAAAAGAAGAAAGGAAGAAGCGGGAGAAGGAAGAGGAAGAAAAACGGGCTCGTGAGAAACGGGAACGAGAAGAATTTCATACACAGGTTACGACGGAGTTGAACACCAACCTAGACGCAGTAGGAAACGCTTTGGGAAAGAAAAATAATGCAGACAACGAGGTGACCAAGTTGAAGGAAGAAATTGAAAGACCGAAACGGGAGCCAGCGTGAAATAGCGAAGATGAAGGCGGCCTCGGATAGGCGATTTGCAACACTTGAGGATGAGATCGCCAAGAAGGAGAGATTGCGTGAAGAAGCGGTGGCTGATGCGGAAGCATGGAAGATCGAGGTGTTGCAACCTGGTAATGAGCGGGGGTGCCTGGCCGTCGAACCAACTCCAACTACTCAAGCTAGGATAAGACCGCAGACAACACCTCGATCAAGAGGCAAGAGGCATGACGCAGAGGTTGTCGCGTTGAGGGAAATTAGACTCAAGGAACTTAACGGGAGACGGGAAGCTGAACAGGAGCTAAAGAGGCTCAAGGAGAAGCAGAATAACGACGAACTTGAGATGGAGAAACTGCTGGAAAAGATGGTCAGGGCACTAAGTTAAAGACTAGGCTCGATGAAGCAGCTGGAGGTTCGACAAGAAAGACAGATAAAGGGAAGAAGACGGCGAGCCCGGTGGTGCTTGTCAGCGAGAGGGAGAAGTTCCTTAAAGACACAAGAAGACAACTGAAGGGATTGAGGAAAGAAGAGGTGATTGCAATCTGCGAGGAGGGTGTGCTACCAAAGAGGAGATTGCCAATCTCCACACAACACATGCCTTTGATGATGAACAAAGAGTGGCGGGTAAAGCCAAGAGAGTTGTTATCCATGAGGTTGACGACGATGGGGGGGATAATTCTGAACGGAGCGACAGGGGTGACTCGGCCAATTTATAGAGTCACTCCCAAGCGCGACTGCTCTCTGGGAACTGGTTGGACGATGCTGTAGAGCTCGATCTACTTCTTTTGAGATGCAAGGTATTAAACACTTTTCTTAGCCTTATCGTTTGTTTGTTGATTCTAGCTTAACAAGTCCCATGGGGAGACGCAGTCATATTGCGCATGCTGTGCCGAATGGGTATAGTTTGATAAAGGAGAAGGTCCAGTTGTCTATGCACTTTTCTCACCATGGTGTCGACATCTGTATGTGGGAAGTACAGGGAGGGACGTATATTTAAGATGGGGAGAGCACATATGCAGGGCTTGTCAACAGTCTGTTGTGGAGGCAGGAAGGCGTAATGAAAAGTTGTACAGATGGTTAAGAAGGTCTGGTATGCATAACTATGTGATTATACCTCTAGCAGTATGCTCTGAAGATGACCGTATCGAGACTGATAATTTTTTCATTTGTACTTTATCTCTGGTTCTTAATGTGCGTGGTAAGGGAAACAAATAAAAGAGGTCAAGGGTGGGCCGTAGAGAAAGATCGAAAGCCAAAAGAAGAGGTGAGGAAAGTGTTTGCAGCAGCAGAGTGCACGTAGTAAGTTGGTGACTTTTCATGCAAGTGTGGGTATAATCTCGGGAAGTTTCTTACGAATCTTGAAGTTCCGTAGGTTGCATTTTGTCCATAAGTCAAGTATTTTATGCAAAGGAGGAGAGAAAATAACAGATAAATGGAAGGTGGTGAGAAGACTGTATGGGGGATGTATTTTGTCTTGTGAACATGGTGTTACCGAGCTTTGGCATGCTCGGGGGTGGCTGAAGGGTGGTGCAACTATTACTGTTGAATCAGTGGTTCCTTTCTTATGTCGATCTCTGGCCTTGAAGACTCCATTGGCTGAACTTTTGAGTATTCTTCTAAGAGGAAGGAACTGGTGAATTGGGGATTGGAGAGGTTGATTTATGCCTATACAGCCATTCGAACTTTCAGTGAAAAAATAAGTAGTGGTAGACTGCGTGGTATACTTTCGGGAAACAAGATTAACTAGGGCTAAACTGCGTGGCATACTTTAGGGAACTATTTCTTCTTGTTTCGGCCTACGTGTGAGAGAGAGGTTGGTTATTAAACTGGTCTACGATGATTCGTTAAGTAAATCGAAGGTCCGAAGGCTGTGCGGACAGGTGATCATGAATATGGATATCTCACCAGCTTGGAGAAACATGCTTGCCCGGAGGATGTGGGTAGTATGGTGTCGGAACAAGTCAATTGGTGAACCTGAGGATGCGGGTAGTATGGTGTCGGAACAAGTCGGAACAAGTCAATTGGTGAACTTTTTTTTTTTTTTTTCTTTTTCTTTTTTTTTCCAAGTCAATTGGTGACGTAATACACAATTTCATTAAGGAATCCAAGCTCAGCGAGTTTGTTTGCCGTTGTGATGAGTGTGATATGCAGTTGCCAAAAGTAAATGGCCACGTGTCCTTTCGCTTGAATGAGTTGTCTATTTTTCTGAATTGGATGGACAATTCCAAGAATCTTCTTTGACCCTCTCGCATTTGATCTACCTCTACTCTAAGGAAGGAGCTCATGACAACCTGTTCTTCACATTCGTCTTTACCTGTCGTCAATTCTGATGTTTTTTCCAGAAGCAATCTAGAGATGTGTTTCCTCCATAACAATAAGAAGTCTGGGTCTTCTGTGTGAGAGGACGATTTGACTCCGTTCTTGAAACTCTTGCAGAATCTGGTGTGCAGCCCCATGGATCATAACATGGGGAACACTTATGTGTGTTGTCCTACTGTGTATGGGAGAGGTATGAATAAGATTTTCTTTGGTAATCCATCCTTCAAAATTTGTGGTGGCAAAGAAGATGAGATTCTGAATCACTGTTCTGGACTGTATAAAGAAAAAGGATTAGTTGATGTGAGTAGTTGTAAGAAGAATGGTAAGATAGGTAGTGCATACTGCATTCCAAAGCACAAAGATGTGTCTCGGTGGCGTCCTATCTGCCCATCCTACCCAGAGTGCTCCGCGAGTGGTGGAAGATTAATAGCTCGAGCTGTCAACGAGTTGTTGTGGAATTTACCTTGAGATTTGAATTTGAATCTTAGGAGTGCTAACGACCTGCTGCGAGAAATTGAGAGGGTGAGTAAAGGGTTGACGAAGGAGGTTTTTTTGCTGGGAGCCTCATTTGATATCAAAGAGATGTTTTTGAATTTACCTCACCCATCTGCGAGGATCAGGGTCGTCGGTAGGCCTAAGGGGCCCTGTTTGCAGCATTGCCCGCCCTAAGTGAAGGCGGGCCTGACATATCGCAAGAGGCCCTCGACTGTCAATTTCATATTTGGGGTCCAGGCAGTTGCGACGCGCCAGTTGGTTGAGAGATACTCAGGCCGGGCAACAAAGACATTTCCATGGCCCTCCGGGCTTTTCCAAAGAATGCATGCCCTGGGCGTGATTCGCAGCCTCATACAGAGACAGTTGGGCGCCCAACCACACGGAGGCCCAGCAGCCCAGTAGCTGCTGTACACAGGCAGCCTCCTGGGGCCTTCCGGAAGCGTCTGGGCCCAGGCCAGGGCAGCCAAGCCAGGCAAGGCAAGCAGGCCAGCTCTTTCCTTTATGGAAAGAGCTCTCCGCTGGCAGGCTCATTCGGTCACTTGCTGGCTGGCGGCAGCGCTGCTGGAGCGATTGCTCGCGGGCTGGCTGCCGGCATTGGAGCAAGAGGCTGCACACGTGCGGTCGTGTGTGGGAACAGGGCGCTGCTGAGGGCAGCGCCATAGCCAGCCTCCATAGCGGGCTCGGCTTGGATACACAGTGAGGCACAGGGGTGGTCTTCGGGTGCAAGAGAGGACAGGTGTGGGTGTTAACTCAAGGAAGGGCGAAGGATGATGATGATGATGATGTGAGGGCACTTACCTTGTATTGGTGACGGTCAGCATATGGGCGACATCTTCAAGTACTTCGGATTGCCGCTGATGTCAACAGTTGCATTGTCAATTATTAGGTTGATCGTAGTTGTGTAGGAGTAGGCTGGGCGCTGAGCGCCAAGTAGGAGTGTGAAGGGACTGGACTCTTGTGTTGCTGAAGGAGAGAGGAAGCTCCCCATGACATTGGTTTTCAGTACTACGAACCTCCATGGGCGTATTATTGGTGCAATGCTGCTCTCTGGACACAGTGTGACTATCTGGCTTTTTATGTGATGGTGTAATCTTGATTTGTCATCTCGCTGTTGCTTATTTTCCTACCAATTTGGTATCGGAGCTGGTTCATATTGCACTTCGATGGTTCTTCGCAATAGCTATTGGTGCTTCGCATGAGGTGTGGGGCAGTGATAAGGCATTGGCGTTGAACATTAGGCGGCCCAGGGTAGTGTGGGCGCGCCAGGGAGCTATGTGGTGATATACGGGGTGTATGCTGGATGATGAGAGCTCGCTGATGTGGCATGTTAAGCCGAGGTGGAACCGCATTCTGCTGTTGGTTGTGCCAAGGCAAAGACCGGTCATCATAATTGCACATCAGGTTGCCAGTGAGAAATCTGTGGTTGGGGGCAGCATTTATGAGGTACGTTGCTCTCTTCCTTATCTACCCTCTTCATTACTTCTTACTGTGAGGAAGTGAGTTTTGTCTTGAGAGTCCTCTCGATGTGAGGTGTCGCGAGCGCTCAACCTTGAGAGTTTTTCTTGGGCGGCAAGCTTGTGGGGGACGGGCGAAGCCTCTAAAGGGCCCTGGACGAAGCACTCGGGTGATGGTCACCATGCCAACCCGCTGGGACTAGTACACACATGCTTTGCCGCAAGTCCTTGGTTCTACTGCTTGCGCATACAGGTCATGCAGGGCATGCCAGCGCTTTGACAGACGCTTACCAGACCGTCTTTAAACATTTCTGGCTGGGGACTCGCAATTGAATCTGGCTGTGATCGTCGTCCTGTCTGCGACGTTAAATAATTCCTACGGAGATGGGGGCTCTGCTTAAATCCCTCCTGATCAGCTTGATTAACTGGGTGTAAGGCTCGTTGCATGCGAGGGTAAATAAAGTGCAGGGGCTGGCAGGTTCGGCGTTGACTTTGGGCGCAGGGGTGGGCCGGATTGCACACCTTCAGACACTCTGCTCAACCAGATGCTCAGGACGTTGACACAAAGTGACCCCTCAAGAAGGATACAGGGGGAAGGGGGATTCCGGTAACTGTTCGCAGTGGCAATCAACAGACAATCTGCCATCAAGCATACATCTCCAACAGGAGATGTTATTTTTATTTTTGACTATTTAGTTGTTACAGACTTTACTAACAACTGACAGACAGCTACAGACAGATTACATCTTTGCTATATTGCAATCTGTTCTAGGGTAATCTAAAAATAGATTTAATATATCATGTAGGACCAGACATTAGTTGTTACTACATCACCTAACTGTTTTTGTTTCATCCGACCGAAATTAGTTGTGATTCATAATCGGTTGTGTGTTAGGCTAAGGTAGGATTTAGTGTGGATTCTAGTTTAGATCACACACACTGTAGCTCATGAGTGATGCACGCACTAGTAAGGAGTTGGTAGTGGACAATCGTAGGACTACTCGCGGGACTGCCCGCAGTCGACCCTTGACATTCTTGGAGTTAGGTCCAGGAGACGAGAGAAGATTGCGGAGAGAGAGCAGCGACAAGGAGAGTGAGGGCAGCTGAGGATAGTGCCAGGACTAGAATTTCAGCTAGCACCAGTGCAACCATGGCTACTTCATCTACCATGTCGCAAACCTCTTCACAGTCCACTTCGTCAGGAGTCAGTCAGAGTGGTTCTCAGGGGTGCATTAGTCAGACTGTTAGTTTGCGAGTCAGACAGCAGACTCAACTCACGCCGGAGGATTTAGAAATTCGGCAAGCAGAAGAACTTCAGGATGAGCTACAACGGCAGTTGGACGAAGCTGCAGAGAATAGAAGAAAAGCAATCCTGAGAAAGGCTAGACTAGGAAGTAGAGTGTAGAAGCTAGGCAGACTGGAAGGGCTAGATGAGGCGGCATTAGACCCAGCTCGTGTGCTGCGTAATGCTTTACTATCAGTGGCAGAAGCGCAGAATGTCCAGCAGGAATTGCTGGCCGAATTGGTAGCAGGCCAGAAACAAATTATGGTTGAACTTCGGGCACCTCGTACAATGATGAGGCAGCCACAGTTTGCTGTAGTTCCCCCTGCAGGTGCGGGTCCTTCATCGATGCCGCAACACACAGGGCCAACTTTCTCTCCTATGTTTGGCATACCCCCTCCAGGTGGGTTAGTAGCAACTAGTGGTCCGGTTCATAGAGTCTCAGTTGTACCATCTACGACAGTGGTCACTACAGTCCCACTGTCAAGCTAGGCCCAGGTTAGTGTGCAACAACGTGTTTCAGTGGCTATGCAGCCGCTGCAGCAAGCCCCTGGGCCCATACAGCCCATGCAACCTATGCAGTGGATGCCCAAGATACCCTTGATGAGTCCTAAGCCCTTCTCCGGCGACAGGAAAAAGGATGAGGACTTGGATACCTGGGTAAGAACGGTACCTACCTATGTGAGCCACAAACTTACCAGGCCAGAGCAAAAAGTTGTTGTGGCTGCCTCCTTTTTAGAGGGGTCAGCAGCCCGCTGGTTGAATGGCCTAGTGCAGCAGCAGGGCTACAGTCAGGATTTCGATGCCTGGGCCCAGGCGCAGACATGAGAGCAGTTTGTACGGTCCATCTACAACATGTGGCATGACCCGCAAGGGGCTCAAAAGGCCACCGATGCAATCAAAAGTCTTTGTGCCAGAAGGTACAAGAATGTTAGAAAGCTGACGGACGCCGAAGAACGTCTGCTCGTGGTACCTGGTGTGTGCTATGACCAGCAGGTACTCCTTACGGATTACCTTAGATGTCTGCCTTCAGAGGTTAGGACAAAGCTGGTAGACGAGGCCTATGTCGATCAGCACAACTTCGCCTCTTTCATCAAGAAAGCCTTAGATATAGAGGCTAAGTTGGGATCTGCGCATCAGAGTCAGGGAGATGGTAGGAAGAAGAGACTACCCGAGGACTGGAAAAAGAGAGGTCAACTAATGTTCGTCGACCATGATGGTTAGGCGACAGAAATTGACGACTTCCCAGACCTCGGGGAGGAGACAGAGCATGATGGGGCTAGTGAGACTTCGGATGGGGGAGTCGTGTCACCCATCAAGGAAAAGGCTAGGGGGGCCGAGAAGAAAAAGGTAGTACGGTCCACGGGTCAAGGCGACCAAGGAACGCCCGCATGGGTGAAACTTGGTTTAGAGTATGAGGTGTGGAGGGACCGAGTTGCTAGGGGCACGTGCATGAACTGTGGCAACTATGGCCACACGTCTCGAACGTGCCGAGGCAAGAAAGTCTTGACGAGGGTAGCCTCGCCAACGGTGGTGGTACTTTCTTCGAACTCTGGCGGTGCTTCTGCGAGCACTTCGCAGGGAAACACCTAAGGTCAGTAGGAGTATTAGCCGCTCTTACTCGCGCTG